TAAGAAAATCATTAAACAGCTGTCAAGACAGCCTCTCGGGCTCATCTTAAAAATCCTACACACGACCTCTGGCTATATCATTTTATTTTCCTTTAAGTTTCAGAGTCTTCTTCCACTTCAGGTAGATTATTCTTCACTTGATTTCTTTCTTTTTTCGCCGTCGCAAGATTTCATATCGGTTGAATATTTCTTTTAAATGTGAAGTGAAGCAACCTTTACTTCTCCGAAAATCGTCTTCTTTATGTTAGTTTCTATCTCCTGTATTCACAGTGGCCGCTCAACACATCAAATACAAGCTGTTCGGTAAACTTCTCACATAAATAGAAAAAAATCCTCGCGCCGCTATCTTTGTTTTAAATTTTCGTCTTTTCATCTCGCGCTTCTTTCGCACGTTTCTCTCGCGCGTGACGAAAGAGTTGTCTGTTCCCCGCGCGAGGAAACTTGTCCGAGCCACCTTAATTGAACACCCAAAAACCGCCAGTCAGTTGTATCAGCAGATTCTATACTCATGGAAAGATTACTTAGTAAATCTGCGTTTGTAATGAAAAAATACAGGGCACTCTTTTTTCTAACATATTTGAACTAGTTAGTTTCGAGAGCTTGCGGTTTAATTGAAGATCCCTTTTGTGCCTAGTGCGTAGTAACTAGACACCTTGCAAGAGCGGTAAGACATTGCGCAAGTGCTCATATAGGACAAGAAATGACGTAATGCTGTTACGGTTTCTGTGAAGTTTACCGTAGGTGAGGGGCTAAATGAAGGAAGCGACCATCGTTTCTGATCTATTGAGAAACTTCTTCTTAGAAAACTCGGAACTCTGGTCTAATTGTTAAACAGACTAAAAACTTCCTTAACAACTACAGCACTTTGGTACACCATGCACCTATTTATATCAAAACACCATTTCTTCCCAATAGACTTATTATGCATTACCGCTGTAAGCACGTACATGAAATATTCTACTAATACATTTATTTTATTTTGCACTAAGTACCTACGTACGCAATGCGAACCTATTTTTTATTCATTTTATGAAAGTCCCTCGACGAAGGTGATGATTGATGAAGATTGTTTACTACACAGCGATTGGGAAAGATTTTTCTGCCACACCAGAATAGATCAGCTATCTTTTCTGTTTTATTTTTTGTTTGTTTGTTGATTATTATAACAGTCATTGTTATCTTATCACTCATTCATTTTGTTACTATTATCGTTGAGACTGTTCCTCTCTAGAGATTATATAACGTTTCCATCGTAAACAGGAGTGGATTATATTATCACGTGTGAAACAAATATAGTGATGTACAAGATACTTTGTAATAGAGAGCTTAAGCACCAGACGTTCTTGAGGTCACGAACGCCTACCGGAAGTCATTAGAGGAACTATGTACATACTGCGCATGTCATGACGTTCGCGTGGTCACGTCGCAGACGCCAGAACGCCACTTTTCAGGTTGAAGGTAGGACGTTACAAAAATATGCTGTTATTTTGTTTATAGGAGATAAATTATTGACTCAAAACCATAAAAAGCTCTTCTGCTTTTCATTAAGTGATTAAAAAACGTTTTCGTAGCGCGTAAAGTGGTTTTTGCTTAATCGATAGATTAAACGGGATTCGACAATGGCAAACAATTTTCTCGCCAAGTCTGGGTGAGTTAAGTCATTTGATTTCATGTCCATTTGAATCATCAAATGCAGAACTAAGATTTTTTTAAACCGGGTTTAAGCTTATCATAACTTACTTTTAGCGATAATTTAGAATTAAGACACTTAAGCGACATTTAGATACAATAACAAAGTGCAAAATGAGATAGA